TTTGATCTTGCTGGGGTGGCGGGTGGGTTGTTGCTGGTGGTTGGAGGTGGTTGTGGGTGGTTGGTTGGGGCTGGTGTTGTTCTTAGCAGAAACCAAAGGCAAATCACTCACAGACCGGAGCCGTTGCAACCCATGTGGACACGGGTGCCAAGCTGGGGCGACTTAAATGCATCGGATGCCCTGGCCATGAGCCAATTTGTTTTTGGCTTGCAACTCGGGATGCGCCACCCAACCACTTGTGATTTAATCCGCATTTGCTGGTTTCCCCTGCTGTTGGTTTCCTTTAAAGGGCCGAGTTGGTCTCCTTTGAACCAAATCGACCCAACCCTGGGTGCAACCATGGATGGCGTAAGCTCCGTCCATCACATGTGGCAAGAACTGCAACACATTGTTTATGAGCAAGAGTTATCGACGCATCTTCAAGCCACTGTACTCATTTCTGCCGCATGTCACACCTCAGGAGATTCATGAAGTGGCCATACTGTGGATGGACACAATCCAGCAACACTTGGAAACCATGGGCAACCATTGTTTGCTGCCATTTACAAGGAAATCATCATTCCAGGGTTTCTTAGATGGTGCAGGATTTCGTCCATCCACAGTAGGTGTCCTTTTTGGTTGGTTTGCTTAAAAAATAGAGGGCCCTGGTTTAGTTGGTTGATTCCATTTACCAGGGAAACCCATCGATTTTTCCAAAAGGCCACCTATGGAAGTGGCCGGGTTGATACTTGCTCGCTGGGCTTCCCCACTTGGGTTCCCCCGTTCGGGGACTCATCAAGGGCACCTCCCAGTGCTTCTGAGTTGGGGTGTGCTGGTCTAAGACACCATATTGTTGGCCTGCTGTTTCCAGGATGTATCAAAGTGTGTGCGCTTTTATTCCTGTGAGTCACTTGAAGATGTCACTTGCAATACGAACACAAGTAAACAACGGACACTAGCAGCATGGTTGCCCGATGCTTGATTCTGCAATGCCGCACAGAAGTTCCTCAATGTCTCAGCAACCACCGCCATGATCTCAATGAACTGTTCCTTTTCAGGGCCTTGGACCCTGTCACGTTCATTTTTCGGGGAGCGCGTGGACCGGGTCAACTCCTGCGCCGTTTCGCGCCCAGGCTGGGACTTTCGATCTGGGCACAACAAGCCACGCCAAAGTGGCCACACTGGCGTCACGCAGCTTGCCGCGAAAACAGGTTGGGGGGTGTCTGAAAATTTGGAGACCCTAAACTTCATGGTTGTTGTTGGGACACATTTTACGTGTTTTTGCTGATTGTGGGTTTAGTGGATTTGAAATCCCCACTGAAGTGGTAAAGAAATTGTTTTGGTTGCTCCCCTTCAAACGTCAACCAAGAAAATATTGGCAGCTTCCTGATTCACTTCAATACCATCCCAACACTTCCATCCTCAACAGAGACACACCCACATTTGGTGTGTCTTTTACGAGGGCAACTTTTGCCATTTACAGGAAAGCAGCAGAGACCCCCCCTTTGGGGAGTTCCCTCATTTTGATTGTTTGGGGAATCTCCGTTTATCAATGCCCTGCTTGGGGACCGCTCAGAGCCATCAATTTGGGTTGCCCAAGGGTCAGCAGGATCCCCGAATCGGGCTGGGAAATTGAATCCATCGTCCATTTCTGCCAAAGCACATCGCCGAATCTCTCACAAATGTGCATAAAGGCTACGGGTTTCGGACGCCATATCCATGGCATTTGACCGTGGCTCTCCGTTCACAGTTGTCATGCTTCCAGTGTCGGGCACAACAGGGAGCTTTCCGCTCGCTCTTGGAATGAGGGGCGCATGCGTTTGCCGTGGTTCCCCAAAAACTATGCGATTGACTTTCAGGCAGTGAAGCGGAACAAATGGTATGGCTGCAAAGTTTGATCGCCATGGACCTTTTTTGGGAAACCAGCAAGAGGGCGCTGAAGCATTTGTTGTTTCGCCTCGTGTGGTCTGTCTCAGAGGTCCATAGAGCGGGGGTTGGCAAGCCCCGGATCCCTCCCAGGAATTCCTTTCACACGAAGTGTCCTTTTCGGACGGGGGAGTCTGTTTTTTTGTTTGTTCCCCCCGTGTTTGTTTTTGTGTGTTTTTTTGTTTGGGGTGGTGGGGGGCGGGGAGTGTGAATCGGTGTTGTTTGGATCGTGTCTTCAAAAGCCTGCAAGTGGACGCCCACCAAGGGCGATGTCGGCTCAGGTACACTGAGGCTCCCGAGGTCTTTGCCGAGAAGCCCTTCATCATGATGGAGGAGGCCCCCAAGCACTCAGCTTAAAAAAGCTGCGTCCTTGCGTTCTTTGCAACAAGACCAGGTCCCCCAGTTGTGCCCTGTTACCAACTGTTTTGGGGGAGGGGTTCCCCTACTAAAATAGACTACGGAAAAAGGGTACCCTTATTCAAACCTCTCTACTGGAGGACCTACAAGACCTTGGGGGGGGGTCAAGTTGACTAGACCTTTTGGGGTGAAGTGTTTTGAGTGGAATAAGCCAGGTTGCCTGCAACCGACATGGTGTAGCAACCTTCAGCCACGCGGTCGGGACGTCGGCGCACTGAAGTCGGTGTCCGCCTTGTGCTTTGAGCCTCAGCCATGCTGCACTCTCCTGAAAAGCCAATCCCAATGGATCCCAGGCGAGCCACGAGAATTCTTGCGAGAAGTTCCCCGCACTCCATAACTGTCGTAGTTCCAGAAATCAGGCCTGGAGTACGATCCCATGGTAGTTATTCAATGAGTTCTCTTTCGGGAGGGGGGAGACACCTGCATAGTAGGGAACCAGCAATTTCCAATGTTGTTCAGTGGGTCCCTTGAGCTCACGAGAGCCCACATGACCAACTCGGTGCCCTGGACCCGAGAGAAACCTCAAACGGTGGTGCCTCACGTAGGTTTAGTGATCCTTTGAGCTGGCACAGAGATTTGGGAATGCTGAACTTCCTACTTTACACATATGCCATTCCGTTTCTGGGGCTTCCTGTACCATTTTTCCTTGAAGCTCTGTTGGGGAAGGTGTTTTAGTAAAGGATTTTGGACCTCAGCTGGCTTCGCATTGGGTACTATTAATTTAGTATTGGCTTGGTATTGTTCTGGTATTGCCAGGGCTGGGGATCATGTTGTTCCCGGGGGATCATGTGATTTGCCTACCCTCGAACGGTGACTAGTGTGTATTCGACAATGTTCAGACATTCACCAGAGATACGCCCCTTTGACCCTCAAGTCCCCTTCTAAATCTAACAGGACAAGTCCTGAGTCTCCCCTTCGTATATCAACCTGTTGTAGCCAAAGGAAGCCCCTAGAGATCATGTTAAGGCTGTGGGTCAGAATCAATGGCATCCCATTTTGGTTGGTACGTGAATTCACCACCCATGTTAGACCCTATTTTAGTGGTTGGATTGAATGGGATGTTCACTTGGGGCTAACCGATTTGGGTTTTGCCCCAGCGCAGGGCAAGTACAAGCTGCGGATTCCTGAGGCGTCTCCGGGAAAGTGGAACCACCGGGTAGGCTTGCGCCAAGGGAACCCGAAGACAAACCCGGGTGCCTGAAGTTCTTCCAGTGGTTTAAGATGCTGTTTTCTTTCCCCTGGTGTTAAAGGGAATCTGTCACTACTAGAGAAACAAGTTGTTTTTGCTCTTTTTCTCCAGGCACTTTAAGCAAATGGAAGAGTTTGGGGACTGGCAGAGAGTGTCCTCAAGGAACCATCCAAAAGACTGTTGGTTGGCTTTTGGAACCCAAGGAGAGGTTTCCAATTTGAGACATTGATGTGATCTGAGATAGTATGGTTTGGCTGCAACAACTTTCACAAACCTGGCCCCGTCAAACAAGGGATTGGCCCAAGTTTGGCCAATATCCACTGGGAAGAATGTTCTTTCTCAGTTCTCATGCTTGCCAAATCCTTCTGTGTTGTTGGTGTTCTTTAAAAAAAAAAAACTTCGCTTCGAGCAATCCCCACCCTCCACACTCACGAGCTTACGACCGTGAACACGGTTGTGTGAATTCAAGCATGGTTTTCGAGCGGCTTGGGGCCTATGACTGCTCAACAAGACTCAACAATCTTCCTTATCCCCCTGTCTGTGTGTCAAACTCCACTTGTCTGCGAGCCGATCTCGAGAACTCAAACATCGGTTCCGTTAACAAAAGCCAAGCCCCTTCCAAAAAGAAACCCGACGGGGGATTAAACGAAGTTGCTTATTCACAGGCCAAAGCAACACAACAGCATCACCCTCTCCGAGCCTCAGGGTACACTCAAAACACGAAGGCACCAACGTGAAATGTAAACCCAACTGTGTGCCGGGCGGGGCGTTAAGCAAAACCAGACTGGCGAGCTGCTCTGGCGGGGTACTGGCGGGATCCACTGGCGAATACTGGCGAGCCGCTCCGGCTTGATACTGGCCAGATACTCGGCGGCAAAGGATACTGAGCAGGATACTCGGCGGGATCCACTGGCGGCTGCTCTGGCGGGACACTCGGCGGGGCTGCTCTGGTGGGATATTCGGCGGGATCCACTGGCGGGATACTCGCGGGATCCACCGGCGAGCTAGTCTGGGATACTCAGCAGACTCGGCGGGATTCACTGGCGGGCTGTGGTGGGATACTTGGCGGAATCCACTGCCAAGCCGCTCTGGTGGGATGCTTGGCGGGATCCACTGGCGAGCCGCTCTGGGGGGATGCTGGGCAGATTCCGCTGGCGAGCAGCTCTGGCGGGATACTGGGATCCACTGGCCAGCTGCTCTGGCGGGATACTCGGCAGGATCCACTGGCGAGCCGCTCTTGCGAGATACTTGGTGGGATCCACTGGCGAGCCGCTTTGGCGGGATACTCGGCGGGATCCACTGGCGAGCCGCTCTGGCGGGATACTCGGCGGGATCCACTGGCGTGGCGAGATACTGGGCGGGCTCCACTGGCGAGCAGCTCTGGCGGGATACTCGGCGGGATCCACTGGCGAGCTGCTCTGGCGGGATACTCGGCGGGATCCACTGGCGAGCTGCTCTAGCGGGATACTGGGTGGGGGCGTGGTGTAGAAGCATCGCAAACGCGGATTCCAACATAAAATCTATCAACCCCTTCCTGTCGGGTGGGGAAAAAATCTGGCGGGATACACAGCGCAGGCAGCATCTAAGACTCTTTCACAGTCTATGTGTGTTTCTCCTCTTGAGCAACCCGCCCAATAGCCCGCTTGGTCCCTCCGAATTTGAAGAATGAACATGGCCTTGGGCCAAGAGGCTAGGAATCGCTGCTAGGTGTAAAGCTGGCAAGCAAGGAACGGCTGGCTGTGCCGCGCGTGAAACTTTTGTGCTGGTTCCGCACGTTGAGAGAGAGGCGGATTCCAGTCTCCAGTCTTTTACGGACCGGGCGGGGGTTGGGCAGGGGGGGGGGGTTGGGCAATGGGTGTTTGGTCATGAAATTCCCCTCTTTACACGGACCCCCCCCCGAACAGTGGAACCAGTCAGCTGGTCAACATTATGTTCAATCCGTCCAGTTGGGAATTGGTTTTGACCGATCCTCCGACCGACCTATCCCGTCTTCGAGCCGCGGAGGTCCTGTATGGACATTCCGGGCCCGACTGGCAGATGCTCGGCTTGAAGGGGGTGCGGGGTCTTCGCTGGTGGCCTGTTCCCCGTGTTTTTGTTGAAGCTTCTCAGAAGCATTGGATGTGAATCACAAGCTCTTCTTGCTGTCACATGGATATGAATTCATATCCTTTGGAAGGTTGGGAAGCTGGTCAAGGATGTGCGAAGAGGCGTATTCACTCTCATAGTGCAGGCCTTCTTGGTGTTCCTTTCTCATGGTTCTGGCAGGTTGGAGCTGAAATGTCCTTACTGGGCCGCGATGATGTTGTTTTTTTGCAGCACGCTCGTTTGCTCTGCAGTGGGTTTTTGGTGAAGTGACGCCGAGTGTTCAGCGATGTAGTTAGTAACTCCAGCAGGGTAGCGGGGCATCGACGGACGACATTCGCATGTCATGCTAAACCTCTGTAGGCCAGCTGGGGCTGATGACAATTATATAGCAAGCCTCAAAAGACAAGACACACTCATGTGGCCAAGGTTTTATCTTAGCCCGAAGACCCTAAAACATCAATCCCTTAGCATCTCACGCAGTCAGCCGAAGCCAGGGCCCGGCCTAAGGACCACGTGTGTTTTAATTGTCTCTTCGACGCTGTTCGGCTGACACTGGTCAGTTGCCTCCAGTTGCCTGGTTTAGTTGGTATAGGGACCTCCCCACAAGGAGTTTGGACGCTGGGGGTGCCTTTTAGCCAGTCTCGGCTGAACCACTCCTTTGCCCCAGGCCTTCTGTCTTGAAGATTGGGGGAACCCCCATTGGATGTCGTCTAAAAGGAAACCAAAAGGGAAGCCTACCCTTGTTAGGGGGCCGCGAGTCACCCAAGGGCTTGAACCTGTCCTGACAAGCAAACCTTGCATGCACCTCACAGCCTGAACCAACCCTAGGGCCAAAGCTGAGCCAACCCCAACACCACACCAGTCTTCAGAAGCCCTACACCAAAACAGAACAAACCACTCCACAACAAAAAGCCGCGGGGCGCAAGTTGGATGCGCATGTGGATTATACATATAGTGATGGCAACCCAGGGCAACCCTGCTCAATGATTATGAAAAAGGATGTTACCCGCCCTTGGAATGGTAGTCCTTAGTGGAGAAGGTAATCCCTGGTTTGACCAGTCCGTTTCCCCTTACTCGGAAACAGATGGCCAGAGCTGGGGTCAGGGTTTGCTGATACTCGGGCAGCTTGGAAGCAAAACAGTACACCCAGGCGGGCGTGTAAAAAAATAAGGGACACCCAACATGGCGCTTTTTGCTTTCGGCTTCCCAACAAGGGGGTGCCGACGCTCAACAACGAACGCGTCACCGGGAGCTTCGGGCGCTTTTCGGCCGCAGGACCGGCAGTACCGTTGGCTTTGAGCAGGTCTTCGTCACCCAGCAGAGCACCACCGCGCAGGAGATCAACACCAAGATCGCGGAAGGCTGGCTACATCCCCCCCAGGCCTCCCCGATGGACACCACAAGGTTCTTGATTGTTTTCCAGGCCCCTTTGACACCCAGAAGGGCGGAGCGGCCACGTGGTGAAAATAACGAGTGTGTGTGTGTGTGTGTGTGTGTGTGTGTGTGTGTGTGTGTGTGTGTGTGTGTGTGTGTGTGTGTGTGTGTGTGTGTGTGTGTGTGTGTGTGTGTGTGTGTGGTGTGTGTGTGTGTGTGTGTGTGTGTGTGTGTGTGTGTGTGTGTGTGTGTGTGTGTGTGTGTGTGTGTGTGTGTGTGTGTGTGTGTGTGTGTGTGTGTGTGTGTGTGTGTGTGTGTGTGTGTGTGTGTGTGTGTGT